ATCAGAACTCATTTCGTCAGTCCATCAAAATTGCTAAGATATTGCCACCCTTACAGCCAAAAGAATAAAAATTTGGACCTCCTTTTGACCTCCCAATCCCTTCAGAAAAAGGGAGAAATGCAAAAGAAATAACTCTTCTCTTTGGCACCTAATTTCATCAGTTGTTAACTTTTTGCTGCAAATATTTAAATGATATTGTTCATGCTTAGTACTTTTATTTCTTTCATTCGCAGTATTTTCTTTCTGTGATATTGTACCTTTTTGTGACACAATACACACGCAATATCAAGTAATTTGTAAAATTTTAGTGCAGGCTGCTTACAACATTGGCGGTCATATCATTAGCGCAAATGCTATAGAACAATCAATATTTTGCTTCAGAAGTCCCCGCACTGGACGGGTACTGACCTTACCCTCATATTAACAATGAGACAGTACAGTGTGTGTGTGTGTGTGTGTGTGTGTGAGTTTATATTTCTATGATGATGTGCCTTTCGTTTCATTTCATTGATACAATGAAACTTCCTACCTTTCATTTCTGTCATGGCCCGTGGAGGGTTATAGGATTAACATCTTCTGGTTACAGTTTCTATGATACTGTAGAATTATGTACCTGAGCATGGCATCATCAAATTGGTTTGGTTCAACAAATTTTAAATTATTATTCATGAGTTAATAAACTGACGTGCTTGTCATCTTCATTGAAACATGAAGACTAAACCTCAAACTCAATTTAAATTTATTCTTCTTTATATGGGAGTTGCTTGTGGTTGGTAGCACCTTTTCTGTTATCCTGATTTTATACAGTAGTTTTTTTAAAAAAGAGGAGATATCAATTAAGGACTGTTGGAAGAAATTTATACTAGTAAAAGATCACTTGTTGTCAAAATTTGAATGGATACTTGTTAATTCGAGTTAGTTTTTTAACAACAAGTATCCATTCGAGTTTTAACAACAACTCATTCTAATCTAACAACAGTCATTTAGGTTTTGACAACAATTGATCTTTAATTGATATAAATTTCTTCCAACGGTCCTTAGTTGCTATTTTCCCTTTAAAAAATAGTTAAGTAAATTTTTCTGACAGCTAATTTTGATGCTTGGACATAATCTTCTGTTATATCTAGTTAATTTAATTTTTAGTTGTCTTTTTCTAAACAACAGTGGCTTGAAAGCATCGTATCTGCTGCCTTGAGGAAGAAAAGTAATGAAGAGAGGCAACTGATCGGCTCAAAATTGGGTCTTTGTGATTCCCAACCCCTTGTCTGCTTTGCTCTTTGTACTGGTGCCTTGTCAGATCCTGTGGTAATTCTTCTCATTTATTATCTTCCATGATAGGGCAGCCTGAAAATCGCTGGAAAAAGTAAGGCGTTACTAGTAATACAGTATCTACGACACATGGAGACAAGTTGAGTGGTCTTGGTGGGCAGAGATTACTAGTAATGTGATTTGGATCAAATTGCTAGCAGTTTAGGCTTGCGTAGTTTTGGTGGGCCTCTATTGGTCTTCCGAGCCATTCTGCCCAATAAGACCAGGAATAATCGCTGTCCTACCGATTTCACTGTCAAACACAACCCACCCCCCCCCCAAAAAAAAAAAAAAGGAAGTTACACTTGCTTGTGGACACAGTCAAAAGACAGCGTCAAGGCCACTCTTCTTAGTTGACCCAATGGCACAGCTAAAATGTTGGATGGACCTTTTTCCAATTTAGCGCATAGCTTTCATTATGAGAAATCTTTTGCGGATGTTAACGAGTACATGGATACAGAAATCTTCAGTGTCGTTTTAGTTTAAAATGAAGGACACTATAATAATTTCGTCATTCCTTTTCTTTGTATAGCATCGATAATGCTCTCTGCTATCTTCCACAGGGACATGTGCAAGAGTAGTTTATTAATCTTCATGTGATATGCTGCAGCTAAAAGTTTATTCAGCGTCCAATATACGAGAAGAACTGGAGATGGCCAAGAGAGAGTTTCTTCAAGCAAATGTAGTTGTGAAGAAGTCAAGAAAAGCTTTTCTCCCAAAATTGGTAGAAAGATATTGCAGAGAAGCAACAATGAGCGTTGATGATCTCCTCGGATGGGTCACGCAAAACGTTGACAAGAAGCTGCATGATTCAATACAGAAGTGCCTTGATCGTAAATCTGGTAAAAAGGCGTCACAAATAATAGAATGGTTACCTTACAGTTCTAGGTTCCGCTACGTGTTCTCCAAAGATCTAATAGACAAGCCATGGTGGATGTGACATCTAAGCTGCGTGGAATACTGGAACAGAATTTCTTTAGTCAATTTAGTAGATGGTGCATTAAAGAGATTCCTTGTACATTTTACCATAATGTGATCCTTACTTGCTATTTGAGATTATTATTGTGTGCTCTGACTTGTGACAGTCTGACAGATCTAATCGCACTCTTTTAACAATTGCATTTTTTAGAGCGATAATAATCTAAATTTAAAATTCAAAAGCTTTAAATTTTAGTTACTAACATTCATGCAATGCAAGGAGTATAGGATATGTTGGGTACTTTTTGTTTTTATTTACAAGTCAACTTTAAGTAATTCACCTGTATTAAGAGAAAGTAAAATTAGTGGATGTTTTTGAAATTATCTTATCTTTTCAAAAAAATCTTTAATTAAATACACTCAATACTAGCTCATTTAATAATATTTTATTATCTTTTTGCCAAAAAATAACATATTTTATTATATCTTGTAGTTAGTATGTTAATTTTATGCTTAAGCCCTCATTCAAGAAAATAATGTAGAACTCTGATATTTTGGAAACGATTTCAGAACTCACGATGACACAATGATTTTTCCTTGTTATGAACATGAAGTTGGATTTAATGACACGAATGATCAAGAATTCCGAAAATATTATTAATTTTTCTATACGATTATTTCATTTTCCAGTAAAAATTTAAGTATTATTTCAATATAAATTTGTATGACGCTATACAGAAATTATAATTTATATTCTTTAACTGAAATAAAAGCACTTTTTTAATTTTTCCCTTGTAAGAAAAAATAATTTTTTTCAGGACACTATGAAAAATATATTAAAATTTGAATCCATGAAATGTTATAAAATATATTATTTTCTTTTTGTAAAAGAAATACTTTCTTCAAATCATAGTATAAGTCGTAGTTAATTAATTTATGGTTTATGAATCAGTTGAAATTTTAATTTTTTAAAAAATGTTCACTTTTTTAGTTATATTTTTATTAAATATTGTATATAAAAACCTTGATAATAATAATAATTAAAATTCTAATGCATATTTTAAAAAATAAATAAAGTAGAGATATAGTTCAAAAAATATAAAAATTATTTAATGCTTTATATTTTAAATCGGGTAAATTTTTTAAAAAATATTTTATGTTTTAATCTAAAGAAAGTATATGCATTATAAGCCATGTGTAAACTGTAAATGTGGTTAAAATAAACAGTGTTTATTGAATGCACAATATATATATATATATATAAAAGTATCCACAAATTAGTCAATTAGGGCACTCAATATCCTAAAATAAGAGAAGGGAGAAAAATACTCATAACATTACATGAGTGGGTTTAAAAGTGATTAAATTGTTAACTTTCACCTAATGCCGTTAGCTTTAATTGTTAAATATTGACTATACATGTGACGTGTCAGTCTTTGCTAATATGGATTAATAAAGGGGGCAAAAATATTCACAAAGTCACTGGCCAAAAGTAAAAATACCTATATTATTATTAGAGTTGGTGCAAAAATGATCAATCTATCAAATCTCTTAAATGTTGACTGTTTAGCAAACACTTAAATAGAAGTTGATTTTTTTTTGCTGATATTGACAAAAAATATTTTTAAATAACACTCTTTGGAGGTTAGTCGATCATTATATGAATATAATGTGAAAAAATATTGTTTTGACTAAATATCAAATTAAATCGCTTGTTTTTTTGTAACAATGACAAAAATTATTTGAAAATTGTGAACCTATCGTGAATGAAATCACTTAAAATTTTGACAATGTTCTTAAGGTAGGGCAGCGAAGGAGGTGTACTCATTGTCGATTTTTAATTATATACAATTTATCTTATTATGTTGAATCTTAGGTTTTGCAAGTAAAACAAATGAGTGGAGAGGGAGGAAGGAAGAGGGCAAAATAAATAGCGATGAAAATAAACCATGTGGCATATATTTTGACGAATTGGTCATTATTACACCTATCAAAGTAACATTATAGATATTCATACGACGATCGATTAACATCTGTAAAAATTTATTTGGGAATATTTTTTGATGAATTAATCCCTTTTGCATTAACTCTGATAATGTTATAGGTATTTTTCTCCTGAATAATGACTTTGTGTGTATTTTTACCCCTTTATTAGTTCACATTATTAAAAACTGACATGTGACATATACAGTCAACATTTAACGGGTAAAACTAATAATTTAATTATTTTTGTGTTCACTCATATAATGTTATAGATATTTTTATTCTTTTTATCATTTTAAGATATGAGTATTTCAACTGATTATTTTGTGAGTATTTTTATTTTTTTATCCTATATATATGTGTATAGTTCTTACAGTTTTCCTTTTCTTTTTTTTTTTTTAAATTACGTTATTATATTCTTACAAAAAGACATGCGTAACTGTACTTTTTTCCCAGCCACATTCGAAACCCTTCTCAAACACACCTGATACCGGCCTTCCCACTCCCCACATCTCATACTCATTACAACCGCAAGATTAGACCGCTTCATCCATCTGATTCTTTCTCCACGGGTATTAACCATCGATGACTGTCCACGTGACGGTGCTTGCCACGCTGCGGATTGTGCAGGTTACCCTTAGTCTCTAGATCATTTCTATGCTCGAATCAGGACCAACCACGTGTATATCTAATTTATACACGTTGGATATCACCCGCTATTGCAAACTCAAACTTTACTTTTTCAATTTCAGTCACCGCCCGCAGACATTTATTTTTGATGAGCTGGAGAGAACGGAATACCAAAGTGCATTTTCCTCGGTCTAGGAGAGTAGAGGGCAAAAACAAAATAAACTAGTAGAGAGAATAAGGGAAAAAACTCACCGAGAAGTATCACTCACTCTCGGTGTCTTCGGGTTGTTTCCGTTTTCTCTGACTGCTATCTATCAACGTCGGAACCCTAATTCGATCCGACGGACCTCCAAGCCTCCGGTAAGATTCTCCTTGTCTGTCAGATAAAATTAGACTTTTTTCTGGGAGCGTTTTTTTTATCTTTTATACATGTATTTAGGCTGTGCCGCTTCATAGAATTACACTGACCGGAAACTAATTTTTTTTGAAGCAGTAGATGACTGTAAGATTGGGGCATAGTTGAGATCAAACTGGCTGGATTTCCTCGCCGGATGGAGGGAGGTAGCGTCTCTAGACTTACTTGTTCTGGTACTTTTCGTGTCCTACTTTTATGGGATATAGGGTTCCTTTTTTTTTTATTTCTTTAGCTTTATTTTCTTGCTATTTGATATTTGATTAGGCAGACTCTGCTCATTTTGCTTTGAAATCGCCAGTCTGTTTTTATAAGTTAATTTCTTTCTTATTATTCGGATCGGCTAGTTGGGCCGAGAATAATAGTTCAAGAAATGCTTTTAATATATCATAGCGGTTAAGCTGTGTGTGACTTTTTAACATATCATGGTTATTAGTTGGCGAAGGAATGTGATTGCTTATCTCTTGGGAAGTCGGTGCTGTGCAACCCCTTTTAAGTAAACTACAAGTTCGTTTAACAAGAAACAAAGATTTTTGTATTATTAATCCCCATCCTCTTTTGAATAAGTTCTTAGAAGCATGGTCACTTGACCGGCAGCACATCCAAGCCAGCATCCAAATGGAGAAAGAGTGAAAACCCTGAATGAAATGCAGTTAGTGAATCTTGACCTGTGTGAGATTTTGTATGTGTAAGAGAATGATACAAGACAGTACAAGACATTGAAGACTTGCAATTTGATAATAGTATCCCACTAATTATGCAATATTAACCTGCCAAATATGGATTAAGACATGTGCTGCATATGCTAACACTCATCACTATCTAGAAGCCTATTTACTTTCCAATATTCTCTCTCAAGTTGGAGCACTCAAATCATATGTGCCAAACTTGTTACGAATATAAGAAATGCATGGTTCCTTTGATGCTTTAGTGAAAATATTAGCTAATTGATCGTTGGAATAAACATGGTGTGTGGTGAGATTTCCAAATTTTTTTCTTTTTTGAACGTTCCCAAATGATATTTTTCTCTCTGATGAAGTGGAGATTAACTTCAATATTTTTATTCCTCTCATGAAAGGCCACGTTGAATGTAAAGCATCTTTCTTGATTATCACAAATTAATGTCATTTTGCTTTTATATTCAAATTTGAGTTTTTGAAGAATTCATCACGCATATATTCAGTTTCAACATTAGATTTACTCACAACATCTTGTTTCTTGCTTTTCTAAGATACAATCTTTCTCCCTAATGAAAATGAAATATGCTATATTAGGTAGTTGATCTATAAGAGATTTTGCCAAACCTGCATTAGCATACCCAATCTCTTGAGTTTGTCCATGATCCTCATATAGTAGCCTTTCTCAAGTGCCCTTTGATATATTTGAGAAGACATGTCATTGGATGCCAAGGATTAGCGCATGGTGATGTAAGAATTGATTTGTTACACTTACAAAAAAGATATTTGATCAAGTCATTTCAGAGTTCAATTTTCCATTTTTCTAGGTATAATGAGGACAGTCAAAGGCACCTTCTGTCCTAGTTTAAGTTTAACATTACTTTCTCATGTCTCCCATGACATGCCAGTTTCTTGAAGGATATTTAGTGAATTCTTTCTCTCAGAGATTACTATCTCAGTATTAGATTAGGTCATCATACGTGTAAAAAAATTTCATTTTTTTTCAAATTCATGGCCTAAAAGTGATTAAGTAGGTTTTATTTAAGTATAGATCCTAACTTGATCATTCCCAAACTAGATATATGCAAATATTAGAAGCACGATGCACTTAGAATAATTAATAGCTTGCTTCTCTTTTAATCAACCCAATTTGTCAAACAATGATTGTAAATCACCCAAACTAGGCTCATGGTGATTCTTTGAGCCCATAAATAGAATGATGCAATTTACATATCAATCCAGACTCCCCTTGAACAACAAATGCAAATTTATTACAAATGCTGATAAGGCCTTCTTCCAAGCTTAAGCAGCCATCCATGATCATATTTCATATAATGCAACAAAAGGTAGTCTTGTATGAAAGAAATGATGAGTCATTCCTAATGTTAGAAAAGATGTAAGAGACTTGTCCCAGCAATTATAAATTCTTGTTTTGACATGTTTTCTTGCATTTTGGCCTTGATTCTGAGGCAACTGGTTCGTTTTTACATGCTATGATTTTATTATTCTCCAGAAATTTATTTAAGTAATTCCTTCTTGGCATTGTATACCATATGTGAATCTTTAGGCATGCCTCTGAGAGTATTTGATGTGAAAGTCAAATGAGATGTAATCTCTTGGAAAGCTCTAATATCTGCTTAAGGTGGCATGGGAAGGAAGAGAAGCTATGTGCTGTTTTGAGGGAATGCAAAATTAACTTGTAAACAAGATCTAGCTAAATTTATTGCAATGGCTTTTACATGAAGCCATACCGTTTTACATGATGATGAAACTTTTTTTAGGGTTCAGTGGTGCAAGTTATGGATATATGCTAATTGTATTTCTTATTTCTTACATGGTCAATCTTCAGGTCATTGTGGGTAGCTTGACAGTGAGAAAATATAATTAATGTTTATCTTGGATAGAAGATGTAATAAATGTTTGGCATATATGTTTGTCAAATATTTTTGTGATGACAGAACTGTTACTCTGATGGGATAATGAAACATTTTGATACCCGGAAGTTTGATGTTCTTGCAAGATATCCCAAGAACATCAGTAAAATTAGCATATTTACTGAAGTTTGAGTTGATTGAATCTATGAAGTGTTCAGAATTGAGACAATTTTGGGACCAGAGTGGAGAGTTATTGTACTTGTAATTAACTGGTGAGATATAATGTGGCTGTGTATGGTGTATAACTAACTATTGTGACATAAGTTAACAGCAGCTGATGGGGATAGAGGGGCCAATCAAGGCGTTCACAAAGTGTTCAAAGGAGAAGTGTAAGGAAGGAAAACTAATACAGCCCTTGTTATTCCCTTACATAAGTGTGAGAAGGCTTCTGGAATATACCTAAAATCAATACGTTTGAGCAACTGGATCCTAATAATCTTCTTGTTCTGTTTTGTTATGGAGGGAAGTTGGTGAAGATGCTATGTGTTCCCTGACTTCCCTTTACTCCTTTGGGAGGGGGAGTATTGATATGATATTAATAATGTAATGAGGAAAGTTAGTTAGGTAGCAAAATAGCGGCAAAAAAGCCATTACAGCTCTGTGTATAAAAAGGATGGGGAGCTTAGTGTATTCTTTGGGCATTTATTGGTTATGCAACAATTTTGTAATAAAAATTTTCACATTTCTGTCCATCTAGTTATTTCTTTATTCATGGTTTGCATGCTTATGCCCAGATTGGTGTAAATGTCTTGTGGGACCAATCTTACATGTGTTTTGATTTACTTGTAGCGCAAGCTGTATTCATGTATCTGTTTCTGTTTCTGTTCATCTATATATGTAGTTTATACTCATACTTTCTGTTATTTTATCTTATTGATTTTAGGGATACATCCATGGATTATGATGACAATGAAAGCCGGAATCTTCATTTAGCTGGTGAAGGGAGCACCAAATTTCCTCCAGTACTAAGGCCATATGCTCTACCTAAATTTGAGTTTGATGAGAACCTTCAAGGGCATTTAAGATTTGATAGTTTGGTTGAAACTGAAGCTTTCCTTGGCATTGAAAGTCACGAAGATAACCAGTGGATTGACGCATTCTCTCGGGGAAGTAGTGGCATAGAGTTTAGTTCAGCTGCAGCTGAGTCATGCTCTATATCAAGGCATAACAATGTTTGGTCTGAGGCTACTTCCTCAGAATCTGTTGAAATGTTATTAAAATCTGTTGGGCAGGAGGAACTTATTCCTAGGCAAGTTGTTGAGGAATCTGATGCCTGTGATGAACTGGCTTGCTTAACTAAGCAAATGAAGCCCAATCCTAAATCTGATGTTAAAAGTGTACTAGAAAAAGATGTTAAAGATTTGCATCCACCTGCTGTTATTCATGGAAGCTTGTCTGGATTGAAGGAGGAAGTTGGAAGGGAGCTGTCTCAGGCTCATGTTTCCCAAGGTCATGGAGTTGACTCATCCATTATTGGAAGCTCTAGTAATCTGGAAAGTAATGATATGTGCAGAAATATTAACTTGCCTGTTTCTGAGGGAAGTCTTTATACTGATGGCAAATGTAACGAGGTAAACCAAGTAGTTGGGGCTTTGGCTGATGACTCACTGGATGACAAAGTTCGTGAGTTATCTACATCTGGGGTGCAGGCTAATGCTTCTGTGGCATCTCTGCAGAGTAACTCTTCTACTTGTGATGTGTTGAACAATCAAAATTTAGAAAATTGTGTAATTGGTATTGGTGATGTGCAGCAAGGTTGTTTGCCAGCAAAATTTGATAAGCAAGATATGAAATCTTCTACATTGAACAAAGATGCTCACGTTGACGCCCAAACTTCAGATGGAATTGCAGCTGCAAGTGATGCACATTCTCTAGATAAACAACCTCTTTGTTCAGTCTCTACAGAACAAGCTCTGGAAGGTGTAAAGGCAGTTGAGGGCCTTGATGCTGGCATGAATGGTGTGGTATCAGGTTCTGACTTGCTTGAAGCAAAAAGATGCAATGAAGATATATCTTCCAAAAATTCAGATGGGGATGCTGCAAATGTAGATGCAGTGATAGATGATAGACCCATACAAAATCTATGTGACTTGCCTAAGGCTGAAATTAAAGGTGACACTAGTTCAAAGGGACAACTAGCTGAGACAAGTAATTCCAACCATGCGATTTCTTCTGATCAGCAGCCGGATGTGATTACCATTGAGAGGAATACATATGGTGGGAGCAATGCCAGTAAAGAAAAGGCAGTTTTAAACAGTGATCATCCAATGGAAAAGGAGATTTTAGTCAGTCAGTCTGAGGATCATGTAATTAGGGAGGAAGACAATAATATTTTTAATAAGAGTGAAGGAAATAGTGATAACAGAGTAAGAGATCTTTCCATGGTGGCTTCTTCTACAAAATCTCTTGGTATGAGTGGATCAATCCAAACATGCGAAAACGATGACGTTTATGGGCAGGGTGAACAAGAAAACTTACAAAAAGATGTTTCTTTAAATGAGGAAATGAGTACAAAGGTACCTACTGTTTCTAGTCAAAAGCATTGTGACATCAGCCAATCCCATTTGGTTGATAAGGGAGTTGGTTCATCATCTCTGAGTGCTGGGAGCAAGGAAACTGAGTTGACAACTTCCACAGCTTTAGCCAGTGGCATGGCTGTCAATGATTCAGGTATATTGTGATTAATTTTTAAAGACGAATGCTGGTTTGGCATATAACATAATCTAACTCCAAGGTTTCTGTTTTTTTTTTTCTGCAGCTTCAAAAGTTATGTTGGAAAATATTTGTCCGGTTCCCTGTAAGACAATGGATGCTCCACCTCCTTCTATCAATGTCTTTTCCATCAATGAAGTTACTGGTAACAATAATGTCCCAAAGAATACATCTTCTATGTCTGCAGCAGTTGATGTAAAACAAGATTCGGCCAAAATAGTTACAGAAGTAGCCACAGCTACTGGGGTTGGGTCTACTGAAAAGGAAGCTTTTTCTGTTAATGGAACTGAAATGCATGCATCTTCTGATGCTTTTGCAAAACTTTCATGCAAAACAGTGAACAATTGTCTGCTGGTTGAGGGGACCAGTGGTGCTGAAAAGTTAAGTGAACCTCAGGGAGCACAAGTTGATGAGGTTATTCGTGAGTGTGCAAGTGTGAGTGGTGTGCCTTCAGTTCCATGTGGATCAACTGTGAAAAAGAGTGATGAAGTTGCAATTTCTTTTGATAAACATGACAAGGAAAGGCATGAAAAGTCATCCTCAAAACTCTCAGGTGATCGAAAGTTAAAGTTGTCAACTTTTGAGATTGATCTTGTACTTCTAGAATGTACCAAATATGCGGTTTTTCTGTGATTTCTTTTAATGAGCGATTTGATGACTCAATTTTGAAGAGGTACTAATTGTTAGTAATTAACTCTGCCCACCTGATTATAACACTTAACTTTATATATTCATTCATCATGTTCTTCCGGTTCAGATGTTTGTATGACTCCTACAAGATTCTGTTTTGCAGGTGACATTTTGCATGCAAGCCAAGTTTCCAGGCCTTCTGCTCCTTTGCCTGATTCTCATGTTGCTTTGCAACAGGTTGGAGATGTTTCTACTTGTACTGCTAATATTACTAGCAGTTCCTCCATCACAGCTGGAAATTCTTCTCGGACTGATAATGATAGGAATCAGGTTAAGGCATCCACTGATCAGAATCCCTCAGTTTCTGAGGGCATCAATAGGGATGCAAGTGCAACAGATGTGCCGTCTATTGGTTCTGATTCAAAGGAAAGTAAAGCATCCAAAAATGACAAAAGTTTAACTTCTGAGGTCAATCCAATGACAGATTTGTCCAAAACAGGTGTTACAAATCTGACTACAAAAGATGTCAGAAAGAGTCAATCACTTCCTGCTGCTGTGGCCAGCAAAGCATCAACAGTAAGTCTTGTTGAAGTTCATAATCAAAGTCTAAAGATACTGATATCTGAATCTTATTTTCTTTATTGCTTACTTGCTGATTGAATTAACCTCTGGATATGCAAGGGGCTCCTATAGTATGATCGTATGAAAGGTGTAGAGGATTTGATCATTGGAATCAATGTAAATGATTAGCCAAGCAATCTTATGGACGTTTTTTTTTTTTTACCCTTTTTATTGAAGGTTGAGGTATCTCCTACAACTTCTGTGTTAGGCCCTACAAAAACTAAAACTGCAGGAGATATATCCCACAGAATTAATGCTTCCAAAGGTACATCTGAGCGCAAGACTAGGCGAACTTATAATAAGACACCAAGAAAGGAGTCCTCTAGGAAAGGGAGCGTTGCAAAAGAAGCAACTCCAGCTAGACAACCAGAAAGAGGGGATAAATCAAGTAATGTCTCCTTGAGCCCATCTTCCAGTCTCCAGCTGATGCAATCCAGTGAGATGCAGCAGTACGGACATATTGATTCCAGCAGCACCAAACCCTTTCCTTTTCTAAATGCTTCAACATCTGGTCTTCCAGATTTGAATACTTCTGCTTCTCCATCTGTTCTGTCTCAACAGCCTTTTACAGATTTACAGCAAGTACAATTGCGTGCACAGATCTTTGTGTATGGAGCTTTGATGTGAGTTCAAATGCTTTCATTATATTGTTATTTAATCATTATGGTGTCACATGTGGTGTTTTAGGAATAATGTGTTCTCACCCTTTATCTATCTGTAGACAATTTATGATAGCTCCCACTGGCTAAATACGTAAATGAAAAATGGGAAAATCTCAGCCTGTCTTGTTATCCTTTCAGTTCTCACTGGCACATTGAACCTGAGGCCTATTTCATTGTTAACCCTTCAGTTCTGTTTGACACCGAGGCTTGAGGGAGATATTGGATTCTTTTGGGGCTAATCAAGACATTGGATTTTCATGATATAGTGATTGGTCTTTTGTCCAGTGTTACCATAAAAAGGATGTTTTAAAATTTTCATGATGGTGGTGGTTAAGTTAATTATTTGTTGTATTGCTGCAGTCAAGGCATGGCACCTGATGAGGCATATATGATATCAGCTTTTGGGGGTCCAGGTTGATTTTTTTTTTTTTTGGGGGTTGTTGTGATTTCTTGTTTGCCATTTCAATTATTTCCTCTTCACTGAAAATATTGACTTTCAACCTGTGTTTTAGGTGGTGGAAGGAGCATGTGGGAGAAAGCCTGGCGTGCATGCATAGAAAGACAGCTTGGCGAAAAATCTCATTCACTTAACCTAGAAGCACCCCAGCTGTCACGATGTGGTATGTTATTATGACTTTTTGTTTCTCCTATTCTGATTTTAAAAGTGACTCTTAAGAATTGGGAATGTTGCAGTTAAGCAGAGCACACTACAAGGCAATGCTATCTCCTCACCTTCTGGTCTAGCAAGCAGCAATGCTACTCCACCAATTGTAAATCCTTTAATGTCTCTTTCATCTCCCCTTTGGACTATACCAACTCCTTGTGATTCCCTTCAATCCAGTGCTCTTGCAAGAGGTTCTGTTGTGGATTACCCGCAGGCTCTTACTTCCCTACATCCTTATCAAACTTCACCTCTGAGGAATTTTCTGGGACATAATACATCTTGGATATCCCAGGCCCCCCTTCACGGACCATGGATTGCTTCTTCAACTCCTCCACCTGGTAACAGTTCTCATCCTTCAGCATCACCTGTTTCAGGTACAGTTAAGTTGAGTTCTGTAAAAGGATCGCCTTTGCCTCCTTCCTCTGGTATGAAGAATGTTATTTCTAGTATCCCATCTTCCACTGGAGGTCCACAGAGCATGCTTGTTGCGACTGCTCCTCTACACAATACAAATGTAACAGTATCACCTGCTCAGCATTCTTCTGATCCAAAGCCCAAAAAAAGAAAGAAGGTTCTGATATCTGAGGATCTTAGCCAGAAGGCATTGCAGTCACAATCTCAATTAGAGTTGACTTCTGCTGTTAGTAGCCATATATCTACTTCCATTGCCATCACAACTGCTGTCAGTAATGTGCCCAAAACAAATACAGAAAAATCAGTTGTGTCAGTATCCACTCTATCTCCTGCTGATCACGCCCAAAATGATAAGATGATAGAGAAGAGGGCTTTGTCAGATGAATCCCTTGGTAAAGTTAAGGAAGCTATAGCACATGCAGAGGAAGCTGCTGCTTCTTCTGCTGCTGCTGTCTGTCATAGCCTAGAGATATGGAATCAGTTAGATAAGCAGAAAAACTCTGGATTGGTATCGGATATTGAAGCCAAACTAGCTTCTGCAGCCATTGCAGTTGCTGCTGCAGCAGCTGTTGCAAAGGCGGCGGCTGCTGCCAGCAATGTTGCCTCAAATGCTGCATTGCAAGCAAAACTGATGGCTGATGAAGCTTTGATCTCATCTGGTAATCAGAATCCCTGCCAAAGTATTGAACTTTCTGACAGTATTAATAAATTTGGAAAAGCTACTCCTGCATCTATCTTGAGAGGTACTAATGGAACCAATAATTCCATCATGGTTGCTGCCAAGGAGGCTGTTAGAAGGAGAGTAGAAGCTGCTTCAGTTGCTGTAAAGCAAGCTGAAAACATGGAAGCTATTGTGAAGGCTGCTGAGCTGGCTGCAGAAGCTGTGTCTCGGGCAGGAAAGCTTGTAACTATGGGTGATCCTTTGCCATTTAGTGACTTGATAGATGCTGCTCCTGAGGGTTTTCGGAGTGTAGCCCAAGCTTCTTCTCAGGAGGTTGGATTATTAAAAGAAATGACCAGAGGTCTGGTAAACTTTGTTAATGCTGGAGACAGCCCTGAAACTTCTCATACACTGAACAAAGATGGTTTTTCTGATGAAATGGAGAAGCAGATGGCTACAAATGAGCAACCACCTTTTCATAAGTTGCATAATGAGAAATTAAAGGATCATATGAGACCAATAGATAGCATTTCCATTTCCATTAACGGCAATGGAAAAAATACAAGAGGGCCAAAGGTCCACAAGGTTTCTGAACCAGTCACTTCAATTGATGTGGTTCCAGAATCGGATATTGAAACACGGCTTGGAAATGAATCTGATAAGCTGGAGGAGAAACTCAAGGAGGGTTCACTTATAGAGGTTTTTTCTAGAGTTGGCACTTTGGTTGATTTGTTTCAATTTATGGTCGTGAATAATTTACTGTTAAGTGAGATTTTTTTCCACCTAACTGAAGCAATCCTATGTTTCAGGTTTTCAAAGATGGAGAAGGATGGAAAGCAGCATGGTATACAGCCAATGTTTTGAGCCTGAAGGATGGTGATGCTTATGTTTGCTACACTTCCCTTGTAGCTGATGGAGGTGGGTTAGAGTTTACTGGTGCTTGTTCTTTGATGAGAATGAAATCTTAAAAACGTTTGGCTGCTGAATAAAACTAACAGGACTTTGTCTTCTAATATTGACCATTATATGCTAAACCCTTTGGATTACGCTTATTGTGTGAGCAATCTGAAGATTCTGAACTCTTGAAACTAGGAATATCTGGATGTAAAAATTAGTCATCTAACTGGCTTTTGCAATTTCTTGTAGAAGCGTTTGTGTTGGGTTTAGTATGCTAGTTCCTGGTTTGGCTTTGAATCTTACTTTTATGCGATTTTGGATATGTTCTGTTGTATCTCGTGCCCTATGCACATTTTTTGAGTTAAATATTGCCAGTCATCTTGAATTAAGATTGTGAACAATTTTTTTTTACATTACAGAAGTTATTTCTAATGACCAAATGTCACTGTTTGTAGGTGCCGGGCCCTTAAAGGAATGGATTGCATTTAAAGGTGAAGTAGACAAGCCACCCAGAATACGCATTGCTCGCCCTTTAACTGACTTGCATCATGAAGGAACGAGGAAAAGACGTAGAGCAGCTATGGGAGATTTTGCTTGGTCTATTGGCGATAGAGTTGATGCATGGATAGAAGAAAGGTGTGACTATCCAGAGTTTAATGTATTATTTTAATTATCAGCCTTTTGTTGTATCATTACAATCATGAAATAACTTGAGATGCCAGGGATGATGAGGATATTGAACCTGATGGATATATTTCCCGAGAGAAATGCTCATTGAATGATCTTTCATCATTACAGATTGAACTTACTTTGATTTTACCTTCAATTTTCATCGAAGCTGCAAAGCTAGACCCAGCAACATGATGTCTTATTGTTTGGTTATGGTGTATCATTGTTTTCATACTGCAATCTCAGATCTTTTTTTGCAGCCCATCTAATGTTTCATTCCTTCAATAAGGTTTTAAATTCTTCAGATTACCAAAATACGCGTGATGCTGGATTTTATTTGACATCTCATTCTTTTTGTTGTCAGCTGGCGGGAAGGAGTTGTGACAGGGATCAAGAAAGATGAAACATTTACTGTTCACTTTCCTGGTACGTGCATCATTTATCAAATATAAATCAGTTTTCACTCTAAAACGTTTCCTACGATTTTCTTGAATGTACTATATCAAATTTGTTCTCTGCAGCTACTGAGGAAACATCAGTGGTTAGAGCATGTTATCTCCGTCCATCACAAATTTGGAAGGATGGGAAGTGGACTGAATGTTCTAGGGTGGGAGCAAATGACCATTCTACCCATGAGGTATATTGTATACAGCTTCACCTTATGGTCATCTTCATTTTTGTCTATGCTGAGGCGTTTATTTTGCATGCAGGGTGATACACCACTTGAAAAACGACTTAAACTGGGTGGTCCTATGAATGATGAGTTGAGATTACTTGATTTGACTGAGAATCAGAAAGTATTTAACATTGGTAAAGCCAGCAAGAATGAACATAAGCCTGATACACACAGAACGGCAAGGACTGGCCTTCAGAAAGAAGGATCTAGAGTGATTTTTGGTGTTCCAAAGCCTGGAAAGAAAAGGAAATTTATGGAAGTAAGCAAGCATTATGTAGCTGATAGGAGCAATAAAATTAATGATGGGAATGATTCGGTTAAGCTAGCAAATTTCTTGATGCCTCAAGTTCCTGGTTCTCGAGGATGGAAAAGTAATTCCAAGAATGATGCAAAGGAGAAACGAGGAGCCAATCCCAAGTACAAGACTTCCAAGCCTGAAAAGTCACATATTATTCTGGACCGTTCAATCCCACCGCAAGACAATATTTTGGCAAATGCATTTTCTCAATCCAACGACACAGAAAGGATCAAGGATGCAAACCATTTTAAAAATGCGTCAGATAATAGAACTCAATTGGAGACAGCATCCTACTCTTCGGTTGATGGAGTAGCAGAGGGACCAATCCTATTTTCTTCACTGCCAACCTCTGTTGATGCTCCTTCCTCTAAGAAGACATCCACATCAAGGGCAAGTAAAGGAAAACTTGCACCGGCTGGTGGAAAGTTGGACCAGATTGAGGAGGAAAAAGTGTTGAACAGTGATTCTGTAAAATCAACATCTGAAATCATTGAGCCCCGTAGATCCAATCGCCGAATCCAGCCAACATCAAGAGTGAGTATTTATTATCTTTACTTTTCCATAACTGAGTTGTTCAAGGCTGCATTTAGCGATATAGTTCCAGCATGGGGAGGGTGTAGTGGATGTCGGTTGCTGCGGTTACCCTATGAGTTGCCTAACTTAAATGCTGGTATTTTCATATAGATTTTTTAAGGAAGGGGCCCCCGGGGGGGTGGGGGGAGGCATTTTCATTGCTTGACCTTGCGATGATGAAATACTGGTCCTGTATTCACTGTTTTTTGCTTGTTTTGGTGTTGATGTCGTCTCGTGCTTTGAGGTGGCAGCTATTAGAAGGACTGCAGAGTTCCTTGATAATCACCAAGGTTCCTTCCGTTTCACATGACAAAAGTCACAAAAACCAGAGCCGCAATGCTTCAAGGGGTTAGAGGCCTTATGCAAGGATTTCTATTTCCGGTGACGTGCAGTGTTTTTTTTATTTTTTTTTTTAACCTCTGGTGCATCTATTTTACGTTGCCACTGACTGATTGATTGATACAGGGAATAATAACCAAGGGTGATCGCTCTCGTTGCAGTGATGCAGTTCAGTCAAAGTTGCACCTGTAGTTTGGACGACTGATACACCCGGCGTAAATGTGTATATTATTACAGTAGGGAAGCTAGGAATTAAAATTCTTGCTTCTTTCGGTTTAGGCTAAACTAGTCAGGTAGATGTTCATAACGATTCAGTTTTAGTCTTGTTTGTAATGAAATGATCTCCTTGGGCCTTTGGCGTGTAGGCTGTGTAGGAATATTTTCCTTGTTAATCTGTGGTCTGTAGAGGTTTGCCAATGATTAAATGATAACGTGATGGCATACTGACCTATAGACTTTTTTCCATTTTTTCTTTATTCGGGTTGACCTCCTTTCACTTCCCCTTGCCTCCGTGTTTCGGGATTGGATCATGGCATGATGAAGAGCGAGTGTACCTGTTCAACTCTCACACCTGTCTAAGTTACGTGTTAGTGAAATGAATTAAAAAAAAAAAGCATTTTTAATTATAATTTGGTTATGCCTTCCCCACCCAAAAATTTAGGCAGGCTCGACTGAGATAGCACAAGGCAAGTGAGACGGTCTGGTTACGCCTTTAAACAAAAACCAAATGATCACGACCTGCGTGACGATACTCAAAATGAAGATAACATGCAACTGTAACTCACAGGTGAAGTAAAACTTTGAACTGAGCATATCCACGGACATTTGTGGCTACAATTTGAACTTTTATATGGCTCTAACCTGGCCCATTCACCAACTCCTTAGATTCCGTCACCGAAGTAAAGAGGGGTAATGACCATACCATACTGAATCACACCCAGATGCCAACAATAAATAATTATATACCGAGCACAATCATTTTCTTCTTTTGATCTCCAAGACAAGGAAGTACTAGTCGTCATCTTCTGCCGCAACGTTCGTGGCACTATGCTTAGAAGGGTGATATCCTCTCCGAGTATCTTCATCCACAAATGGTTTCTCACACACACAAGAGAAGGGATATTCATGAAATTCTCCTCGTCCAGGTCTCATCTCGTCTGGCTCTCCCATGAATCCTCTCTGGCATGCCTTAACCTTCATGGAGAAGGTATCCCAGTCCATCTTATCCCTTGCCATCATCAGCGCGCTAAGCTTCTTCGCGTTGGGTCTAATGGTTCTTTTATGACCCATATACCTCCTACAATTCGCAAAATCAGATCAGCAAGTTTAGATTCTTCTGTGGACCCCAACACCTCCCTCAGATCGCCTTGAACAAGAAATACAACCGAAAGAATAAAATCAAATAAAAGAAACCACAAGGATTGAGAAACAAATCCTGAATTGGTAAAGAGCAATTATAACCTTCACAGGCAGCAACTTGCAGGTTTTAAAGCAACTAAGGAAACGCATGCTATGCATTGTACAGTCCAGTAGTTAGCATCAAGTGCTTAATCAATATATTTATACACAAGGAGCCAAAGTCGACTCGGGCTAAATGAGAAATTTCATTTAAAATCAGTACTGGTTCAAAGGGCAAAACTCACCGTAGGCTGAGTATACTATTAACCCAGAAAAATTAAATGGATCATACGATTTGAACACTAATCTCACAATCAGACCATCTCTACGAATGTATGTATGTCTGGAACTCCTGATTTTTATTTAATGTTCATAATCAAGACAGATTAGGCTTACGGAATAATTCATCCTTTTTTCATGAAAGACTAAAGATGGGTAAATTAACTGATTGAATGTCCTTGTAATTTCACCTAAATACAATAAATTATGCACTAGCAGAATAACATCCCACAATTTCATGATATTAGAACAAATTTCTGTATCTTACCTTCTGCCTGCAAGAATCTTGGCCATGTTACCATTGTTGTTAGTGACAAATACATCACTTTCATCACAGACAATATAGTCAATGGCAGCAAGGCGGGAGGAGAATGGAAGGAAAGGTTTCAGCTCTTCATCAGCAAGCATCTCCTTTGTAAAGATGTTAGGGAAAAGAGCTTTAAGGGGCTGCATAGTCTCATCTCCACCATATATCTCTCCTGATGCAACGTAGACAAACGTGTCATTTGCAAAACCAAGTGCTCGCAGCATTAAACCAACTTCATGAGGAGTAAGAGGACATTTCCCTCGCTTTCTCTCTCCATCCGGGCTCAAGTGCTGAATTATTTACACGAGTAAATTAAAAAGGTACATTAATTTCATATCAACATTCAAAAGAAATAACCCTGCCATAAACTGTAACAAACTTCACGTGGCAAAACAATCCTCCCTCCGTTTTTATTTGTTAAAGAAACTGTCACTTTTGAATTTTTTTTTTTAAATAAGCAAAATCAAATATCTCAATAAGCATTTATTACAGATTTCCTAAATTACCCTTCATAATTTACATTAACAAGAAAAAATTAATGCACGCTCATGTTGATTAACATAAGGTATTTTAATTCAATTTCTTTGTTTTCAGACATAATTATTGTAGTTACCCGATTTTCTTAAACTCTGATTTTTTTTCCTATATACAGAAACGGAGCAAGTATGGAATTTGAAATCATATTTAAGCTATGCATGTAAAACAATGCAGGTTGGCAACTCAAGCATCAGTAACCAAAATGACCAAACATTGTCTTCCTGGCATTTGAATAAGGATTATATCATGATATGTTCAGGGAATGAAGTCTTACAGGCAATGTTGTCCACCTTTTTCTAATTTCACCAAGCTCACGTCTCTCTCTTTCTCCTCCACCAAAGTAACAACCTGAAAAAGCTAGCATGTCTGGCTCAAACCTGCCATAAATCAGCTATCAATGCTGTTAAAATGATCTAAATATCATAGACAACAGCAATTGCCATCAATACCCCCAGCCCCGATCTCTCACTTAATTTTTTTTTTATTATGAAGGAAACACAAAACCTTAGGAGTAAAGAGTAGAGAAACGGGAAGGATGGTAATCACACCCTTGACATCATATGCGCCTCAAATCTTAAACACTGAGTTAAGCACTACATGAGCTGTAAGCTCATTGGCCAAACTCACTTGAACTCTGGATTAACATCTATTGCTCAGTCTTTTATGAAAAATCATAACAATAACAATAATAATAATAATACTTATAGGATAAGCTGCAACAAAAATTAGTAGGAACTAGTAAGTATACTGCCTCTCACCCTCCCTTCAAACCTCAATGAAACAGAAGAAGCAAATACATTGGCTTTCTAATTTTGCAACCCACGTACAGAAGGCGCACAAGGAGAAAGACAAATCAAACAGGTTGAAACAAGTTTGGACTAAAGTAGAAAAGAAAATATACAACCTAGACAGTGCATATACATTAATGAGACAGAAATAAAAAAAGGAAAGAGAACCAGTTTCAATTATATGAAATAAAGCACTACTTCAGAAAACCTATGCTACTTTAAATGATAATTAAACTTAAACTTTATCCATTCATCAAACAAACCTCAAATGGACAGCTATAAAAAGGTCTGCCATCTTCTTCATTTTCATGACAAGCCTCTGACCAAGAACCCTTATAGGTTTTGTGAATCTTAAAGCATGATAATTAACACGGCAACGTAGTTTTTGCAGCTCATCATCAAGGTTATTTGCAAGTCTATAGTCAAACTTTGTCAATTGCAGAACCTGCAAAACGTCCCAAATATCAGTTCAAATATGCTGCACAAAACAAAACACGCTTACACAAAAAAGAAGGGGAAAAAGAACAGAAATTTAAAACAAGTATAATCACACTATGGCCTTACTCGTCTTCTCAGAAGGATTGGCAAAACTTGGTCTAGATAATATTCAGGCTCTGATTTCCTAGGTACACGCATTGTATATGGTGGCTTTTCCATTGAGCGCATGACCTTGTTAGGTACTCTTTTGACAATTTTAACATCTTTTGCAAGAGAAGCGATGAACCAATTAACGTTGAAAATGTTGTTGAAGTCACTGTATACAAATAAGGGGTGTCTGAGACAAAAATAACTGTAAACTTGATTCTCACCCACTTTAACCAGCATATAAGAAACCAACTGAAATTTGTAAATTACCTGTCATCCTTCCAGTATGATTGATGATCTAATTCAGGTACCACCAGTGTAGCATTAAGAATTCGAGCAACAACCACAGCATCTGTTATCTGAAAGCAAGAATATAATGGTCATTCCCAAAGAAAGAATTTATTTATTATATAAGTGTAAAAATGTACTGCAAATTATCAGCACAAATATGAAAAGAACTTTCTCCATAAATAGCTGAAACAACCAATAGCTTGAGAGAAGGGGAAAAAAAAAGCCTTTCTGATTTTTTTTCCCATGCCTTTAATGTATAATTTTATAGGGATGCAACTAAGACAATCAACACCCCAGTTCTTTCACGCGTACAGGTATAACTTATCATTAAATAAAGACCACAAAATCTTGCGCAAATTCTTACAGGGATATGGTAAACAATAAAATCTTATTTTGTACTTACCCCAGTTCTTTGCTGATTCAGTCCACCACTAGTTGCAACAAGCAAGTAACCATTTGACAAATGCTCACGTACAGTGGCTACATTGTCCAGTTACCAAATTCAAATAAAGTTTCACATAGAAAATTAGTATTGCTTGCTCCATCCTTAAGAAGTAAATTTTTAAGAAGAAACATATTAAAAATTGGAAACAAGTCAACAACAAAATATATCATGGATTCATTAAATTTTTTTCATAAACTGCATAAAGTGCCACAAAGCAAACTTCTGTCAACCTAGATTGCATCAACCATAGTTTTTTCTTTTTAACAAAAAAAAAAAAAAACAGATCTTGACCCCAGAAAAAAAGTACTCAAGGAACAATAGAATTTCCCAATTTTTGTAGCATCTCGAGCAAAAGGTAACAATACAGATCATGATATTTATGGTGACTTTTATCAGAGCTTTAGATTTGACATTTATTTTGTTGTGCCATACATAAACATACCATGCCTAGGATACTTTTCTTTAGTTGTAAACGTAGAATTACTTCTATCGTCAACCAACATAAAATGCATGACAAGATAGTCCAAGAAAAGTTCTGAACTCCAACATAATAACCAAGGACTATGAAGTGAATGTGAAAAAATTGGTGCTTGAATAATAAGAGTCCCATGGAACTGTTGATTCTTTACCATACGGTGACCAACAACATAAGACATTTACTCAATCATACATGAGAAGAATTTGCGATGGAAACCAGAAAGATCATAGCACGAAGTAAATAATCCCTTCTGTCTTATTGGCCAATGTCTTGCCAAATTGTCCCAAATAGTTTCATTGTCCCTTGCTTTTCTTCTTGCAGTGGTGATTCTTATGCTTTTCAGCTTCGCAAGAAGGTTGAGAGGATGGGGTGGGAGTATAAAAGGACCTCTAGAGGATGCAAAACCCTAGCCAAAGTTTCTATCATCCTTAATAAACACAATGATGTCATTTAATTCCAAGGAGAAAAGGAATTCACCAATCAACCAAAAGGGTTACAAGCAAAACATAGCATGGAAATCACTATTTGTTCATTGATATTCATCTATCATTTTAAGAAATAGAGGTTTTTTCCCCCCCTTTTGAAGCAAATAGCATTTAGATCACAATTTGGCCAACTAAATACGCTTTATCATGCATTGCATGGAGTTTGAAACTCACTGTTTATAGATTCTAAATACGTTTTATCATGCATTGCATGGAGTTTGAAACTCAATGTTTATAGATTATAAACAACACAACTCATAATATATTTTATAGAGAATATTGATGTCTCATACATAGTTAATTGCAATTCAAGGAAGAATACGTGCTTGAATGGTAATTGGCCATTGACAGTTATCAAATTGGAAACAGAAGGCAAAACATGGTGAATTTACTTACAAGCAAAGTGCCGTCCCCTCTCACTGCATCCATAGTAATATCTAGAATATTGAGACTGCCATACATCAACTGGATCACGGTAGACCTCATCCTACAAAGGTTAACATCAAGTATGTTTTTAATTTTAGGCACAAAAATAACAACTTCCACATCTCATCTAAAGCTGCCGGTTAAAAACTATGCCAACGAAACCAAAGCTATCCATCGACAACCGCACTCTATATTCAGCGTCACATAAAATTAGCATTAAAACAGTAAGCATCACAACACAAGACACCAATTTGAGACGCCAGTTTACGCAACAGTGCCAATTTAATCACGTAAAACGCGCGCGCGCGCACTCGATCACATAAAAATTACCAGTCTGGAGTAGAATGTGTGCTGAACCAATCGCTGGGAGTACCATTCGAGATCAGAAGCCAAATGACCCGTTAAAAGCGAAATTAGACCCAGCCCGAAGAGCATCAACCCGCACACCACCACGGACCAGGAGATCGGCTTCCCATGATGAAATTTCGCCTGCGCCGTCGCCGTCGATCTCCAACACACATTCTTAGTACTTGGGCGGGGTAACAGAGCCAGGTTCGTCAACGACAAGCTAAACCTTCACGCTTTGGCCACACCCATTCCGGTCAAAACGACACCCCCAAATTGCCAACATATCGTTCACTTTTATTAAAGCCCCGTTACCTTCCGAGCTGCGTGAAAACAGAAAAGTTGGGGGAGGGGTTGAGAGGAGTGTGAAAGCGAGTAACGTGGATGTGGATGGTTGTAAAGTAAGGCTTCCAACAAGCCAGATTTTGTGGAGGAACCCTAATTCAGAGTTTCTATGAATTATTAATCACTTTGGAGAGTGAGCTGTGAAGTATGCTTGATGCGGGTGGCTATGGAGACTGAAGACTTTCCACGGAGAAGACTAGCTTATAGAGAAGAATGTAAGAGCTTTGCGTGACGTTATTTCTGCTCTTTTCCTCAATGCTGGGATCTCAGCCGAGAATGGAAAGAATAACCATGCAACATACATTTATTTATTTGGAAATTTGAAATACCGATTGGCCCAAAAAGATATTTAATAAAAATATTTCGTAAATAATTAGAATATGAATATTGCAGATTGGGAAGGTTAAGAATACTCCCTGAACTAAATTGAAACCTGAATAATAGTTTTTGCTTTTTTTTCCTGCGGCAATTTTTTCTTATTAATATTTCTCACCACCTCTTATCTTGTTGCAATTTTCTCGTGGCTGTGTTTAATTAGAAGTAAAAGCAGACAACCCTCCTCTGTTTTGAGGAGGAGAGGGGTTTCCCACTTTCTTTTTTCTCATTTTTTTTTCAATTTCCACCATTTATTTTATCTTGTTAAATAAATTTATTTTAATCATAAATTTGATGAATGATAAGAATTGAAAAAGGGAAGGAAAAAAAAAAGAGAAAAGAAAGGGAGGGACCTTTTTTCCATTTTGAGGCTGGTCCGCGTAGGATGACAGTAATAGCGCGGAATTAATTGACTAAAAAAAATAAAAGGTTCTGAGATCAACTTCCGCATACCTCAGTAATATTTATTTCTTAAAAAATTAAAAATATTTTATATTTTTAAATATTTAATCTCTTAAAAAATGTGTTATATTTTTTAACAGAGTAAATATCACTTAACAATTATATTGTCTTTCAACTTTAATAGTAAATTTCACGTGTTTTAATTTAAAATATTTTTAAAAATAATATCTATCTGTCATTCCATAAAAAACAATAACAATAATATTGAAATAAGCAAGTTCAAGAACAAGAGTACTCCCCCTTCCATAAAGGCGTAGTGGAAACTCTCTAAATTTTAAAAACAAGGGTCAAAATTTAATGATCAAAAGTTCAAGACGCCAGGCTACCTGGTTAGAACTTTGATTTAAAATTGATGAGCTTTGACGAGCGATGAGCGATGCTTGATGAATGTGAGGAGGAGATTGGATGAGGAGCATGATGAAGAGATCAAGTGAGAGCGTGCAACGACAGAGATAAGGCACCAAGTAAGTGAGACTTGCATCGTGTTTGGTTAAAGGGGAGGAGGAAAAAGGATTTTAACGAAGAGAAGAAAAAAAAGATTTTAATAAAGGAAAGGAAAGAAGAGAGGGATAACAGCCACTGACAGGCCGGGAGAGGAGGAAGGGGGAGGAATCCCTCTCAATGCCCTAACTACCAAACAGGGGATTAGAAGGTACCATTGTGTTGAATAATTGTTTTCAAAAATATTTTATGTTTATATTAACGATTTAATAAAAACAGTTACTCCTTCATATTCTCAATATAAACCATTTTTTGGAAATTTCGTTTAATTCATAATGCAAGAAATCTTGTAAATTTTAATAAAACTTTGATGAGTTATTTTAAAAAATAGCTACATATCTAATTGGTTTATTTGTGGGGCATGTATGTTTGGCTATAAAGTGATAATACAGTTAATAATTTTAATTAAAGATAATTTGAAATTTTTATTAAAAAAAGTAAAAATCAACCCTCTTAAGTCACTTTAACCACATTACTTGATCTATTTTGGCTAAGAGAGTATATCCTCTTCTTCCTAAGCAAGGACCACTGTGCTTTAATAAATATCCTGGAAATGGAAAGGAGCATCTTCCAATTCTCATCATGCACAATCTACGTGGTCATTAGGCATTTATGCGATGAGTCTCCTGTTTTGAGAATCACACCGTTGAAATTTAACGCACTGCGGCCATATTGATTTCCAAGTCATCCCTTCTTCTTTAATATTCCATCAATTCATGAAAGGACAGGACTTTTGTAATTGATATATGTTTAATATATTTTTATTTAACCAAATCATAAACATATAAATTTTATAAATTAATAATTCAAATAATAAGAATTTATGATAGAATAAATAAAGATGTGCATATTTCATTTTAATTGTAAATAAGTACCTCAAATATATAAGATTGTCTATATAAATTTTTTCATCATAAAAACTTTGGGAGATGAAAATTAAAAGCAAATTGATCCCGCACTTTTAAAAGAATTTTTTTATACACTATAAATCTTGAACTTGGTTTGTATCACACTAGGATTCAAACATTTTTTTTATACAAAAGTACAAAACTCGATCGCTATCTACCGTGTTTTTATTCATAAAACAAAAAAAAAAAAAAAAACAAATGTGCAAGCATAACCAACCATTCCCACACCTTGCTTCCTTTCTCCACTTTCGCTCACACCTCTCCATCCCTGCTCCCTCCCTTTGTGTGCGCGAGTGACATATACCTGCGTGTTATAAGTGGTGGTGTGGTTTATTTTTGTCTTAAATTATAAAACAATTTGATATAAGATTATGTATATAAATAAAATACAATAATGATACTTTATAAAATTACTTTTTAAAAATAAAGTTATAATTTTTAAAAATATATCTACACATTTAATCATTATACTAAAATAGTATACCAAGAGAGAATTAAAATAATATTATAACATAATAATTAAGTGTTCAGGAGTATTTTAAAAAATTATAATTTTATTTTAAAAAAGTAAAATTATAAAGCATCGTTATTGTATTTTATTTACATAGATAGAATATTATTTATATTATACAACAAACAATCCTTGTATGTTGGGAGAGAAAAAGCCGCAGCACCACATGTAACAAGCAAATATATATTTACAGGGTGGAGAGAGGAAGTGGGGGTGGAGATGATAGGTTATGCCTGCACTTTGATTTTTCTTCTCTCTCTCTCTCTCATGAATACAAACTTAGTCTGACATTAGGCGAGTTTTGTACTATATATATATATATATATATATATATATAACTTTTAATTCTTACGCTTTATATTTTATTATAAGTTTTTATATTTTTTTTAACATTTTGAGCTTCTATACTTTCATTTTTTAATATTTTAAATCTCTAAATGATTAAAATGATCAAAGTATAGGGATCTTAAATAAATGTAAAACATCAAAAATAAAAATATAAGAATCAAAATATCAAAAAAAATGTAAAGACCTATAATAAAATATAAGTAAAGTGTAGAGATCAAAAATTATTTTTTTTCCTTAAAAAATTTTTGGATCTTGATATAATACAAGCTAAGTTCTAAATTTATAGTATATGAGAAAATATTTGCAAAAGTATAGTGTATGGATAAATAATTTTTTTTATAGTATTGAGATCAATTTGCCAAATTGAAAAGTAGATTGCCGCAATACTAGCTTATTATTCTCTTTAATAGTTAAATACATTTAGTTTATGGTTTTTTTTTTGAGACCTACACTGAAACTCCACACACACAAAATTAATTATTAAAAGATTTATTAATAATTGATTGTATCATCAATTATCTTAGTTTAATTATCAATAAATTTTATAGTAATTAATTTTTTTATATAAGATCTAAATATAATTCTCCCTTTTTCTTTCACTTTTGTAGGTTTATAAATTATATTATGGTTAATTTTTTTTAATTATTATCGCTGCAAATAGTTACAAGGTACAAAGACGATATCTCAAGACAAATATTTTTAGTCTAAAATATTAAAATCACAGTTTTTCAACAGGGATGAAATCTTTTGTGTTTGACTAGAGGGCGAGATAGTGGTCAACCCTTATATTCCATCTTAGGCCTATAGCCTTCTCATCGATCGAAAAGTGAAGGAAACAATGACCAATTCCAGAGCGCGCACATGTGCTCATCTGCTTTGCCGTCTTTTTTTGTTATTTCCTCCAAGTCTCCAATTTTGTGTTATGGATTTTTCCTTTTTTTTATTTAATTTTATTTCTCGAACGCAACCTAATCCCGAAGAAACAGGGGAAATGCAGGGCCCTCGGCCTCGATTGCCAGTGACAGCAAAAGAAATCAAACCATCCATGAAGTCATAGTGGAAGCTCCCCAATCCCTCATCCACACAATCCAAATCTAATTGCGTTTTGAAAGCGAAATCCAAGAAGCCTTGTGTGTTTAGTTTTCTATTGGTAAAAAATTTAGTTTGTCAAAAGTTTATTTTATAAAAATTAATTTAATACTTTTTTTATTTAAAAATATAAAATATTTTTAATTAAATTTCATCCTTAATAAAATAGTTATATTCTTTTAAACTAATCTTATATTTTCATATTTATTCTTATTAAATACCTTACAATAAATATAAAATTATTATCAATAGGGATATTTGTTTTAAAAAAGATAATGATTACATCTTAAAAAAGTACAAAATACCTTATATTTTTTAATATCTAACTTTTCAAAAAATATTCACATTTTTTAATGGAGGGAGTAACTGTTAATTATTGTAGTAAAATTTATATTTAAATATATTTTTTAAAAATAATTTAATGAATTAAAAGTTGTTTGAATTATATACAATGAAATATTTTTGTGAATATATAATCACTAAAAATATCATTTATAATGATTTATAATTTTTTTATACAAATATGATATTTTAAAAAAATTTAAAATTGTGATAAAAATTTTAAATAACAGAAAATTTGGCATGATAAATTATAAAAAAAATATAATTTGATATGTTGAAAAAAGATTATATAATAAATAGTTTAAATTAATATTAAAAATTAACATAATTAATTGTTTGATTTATAATGTAAAATATAGTTTCTAATTGAATCACAAACTTTATTCATCTCTCGATCAAAAGCAACACTTGAAACTATATTTAAAACTGATGATGGAGATATATGATTCAATATTATCATCATAAAGGTTAATCATATTTTTCATACCCAAAATGCATAAAACTAGAATTATTTGTAAATTTTATTTTATTAAAATTATATATAACTATTATTGCACCAACTAAATAAACTCGTGGGTAGGTTGAAGTATTAATATATCCCTCAACTTCTTATAGACGCACAAGGCACCCACAAGTAAAAGGTGACGAAATATTACTCTTTATGTATTAAAAATGAAACAATGTTGCCCTTGTTAATATCACTTTTTTATTTAAAAATATAAAATAT